ATAGAGTTATTAACATTTATACTACCAGAAACACATAACTGCTTTTGTAAAGGAGAAATTACAAGAGGTTGAAGAAACAAATAGAACACTAAAAAAACAAGACTTTATCATACTTCTCTGAGCTGCATTCCCCTAGAAGCACAATCCGAGACAAGGAGTGTAACTGGTTTATTTGGGAAGTAAAGGCACCAGAGGAGGAATGAAAAGTATGATGGAATGATGCAAAGAGGCAAATAGATGGTGCACCAACGCACAAATTATCACTCCTCTGGGAGACCAAGTGAATCATGCTTCAGAGTTGTCTTGCCTGAGGGGCAAAAAATATTTCACGTTTATTCCCCAACTCCCTTCAGGCTGAGAGCAACTCCTGGAGGCATTAATTCTTTGAAACTTATGGCCTTCCCTGACTCACAGGTTGAAAGAAACCTCTAAGATGGGAAGAGCATCTGTGGTAAGATGCTCTGGGCATGTGCTAGAACAGTGAACACTGAGAAACTATGAGTAGTGCAGACATTTATGGTAAAGTTTACCCCATGCACAGAGTTTCTTGCCCTCCATGTTAAGTTCATTTAAGTGTCATCATTCCATTTATCGCCTAGCCTCAATATACAGATGGACAAACACACAATTAGGACCCCTTGAGGGCATAATGCTTGGTGAAATAAGTCAGACAGAGAAAGACAAATAATGTATGATCTCACTTATCCTATCTAATAAAAGAGAAATATGCAAACTGACCATACCTCCGCTATGCCCACAAGCCACGCCCACCAGTCAATCAGGAGCGAGTATGAAAATTAACACAACCAATATGTCAGTTAATTTGCACAGAGTGCAGAGCGAAGACTGAAGACAGCATAGAAGGAAGCAAAGTGCTACATAAGGGAGCTAAGCTGCAAAGAAGCAAGTGGCGTGGCAGGGAAGCTGTCTGGGCTGCAGAGAAGGAAGCGAAGCAGGCGGGGTGGCAAAGAAGACCACAGGAAGCCCTATTCTTGCAGGAATCTTCCTGCAATGGGCCTCTAGTCTGTGGAATAAAACAAAACAAACATTAAACCCAAACTAATAGAAAAATAGATCATATTTGTGGTTACCAGAGGCAGGGGTTGGAGGGTGGACTAATTGGATAAAGGTGTTCAAATATGCAAACTTCCTATTATAAAATAAACTAGAGGCCCAGTGCATGAAATTTGTGCACTCGGGGAGGGGGGGGTTTCCTCAGCCCAGCCTGCATCCTCTCAGAGTCTAAGTGCCCTCAGGGGATGTCTGACTGATAGCTTAGGCCTGCTCCCCGTCAGTTGGATATACTTAGCACTGCTGCAGAGGAAGGAGAGGCTCCAGCCACTGCCGCTGTGTTCACCAGCTGCGAGCCTGGCTTCTGGCTGACGGTACTCCCCCTGTGGGAGCACACTGACCACCAGAGCACAGCTCCTGCATTGAGTGTCTGCACCCTGGTGGTCAGTATGCATCATAGCGATCAGTAGTTCAGCCCTTTGGTCTATTTGTATATTAGCCTTTTATTATATAGGATAAGGACTGGTAATGTAATGTACAACATGACTATAGTTAACACTGCTGTATGTTGTAATTGAAAGTTAAGAGAGGTGATCCTAAGGATTCTCATCACAAGGCATTGATTTTCTTTTTTATCTATATGAAACAATGGCCACTAACTAAATTTATTATAATAATCATTTCACAACAAATGTAAGTCATTATGCTGTGCCCCTTAAACTTACACAGTACTGTATGTCAATTATATCTTAATAAAATAGGAAAAAATTAGAGTAGACTTAGTGCAAAAGGAGTTATATGACATTAGTAAATCAAAACTTGATACTTTTTCTATTCTACATAAGAAAGATTACATGCTTCATTTAAAGCAGAAAACATTCAATCCAATATACAAAAGAATCCAGAAAAGGGAAATCTTGAAAAACTAGATTTTCATAGAAATTATTCCACAACTTTGGAGAAAATATTATTTGAAAAGTACAAATAAACTCTCATCAATTCTAAAATATAAGCATTTCTGCTATAATATCATATACCAATTCCTTTAAAACATCCCTTTTAGGTAAAATTAAGCACCAAAAGTAACTAGGTTTAGGAAAAAAATATTGCAGAAGTAAACCACTCAGAAGGCTATGCAACTTTGTAACCTGTCCTAACAAAAACAATCTGTCTTAATAAATCTTAGTACAGCTAAAGTCCCACTAGTCTTTTCACCCAGCATAGTCAATCAATTGTAGGTTTAAATGCTGGAGCTCACCTTTCTCCTTTGACATGCAGCTCCCTGAGGGCATGAATTCTCAATGTTGATATTTCATCACAAATTAAAAATATGATACTTAGACATATTTACAGCTTCTTCATTGGTACTTACAGCATCACGAAATGCATTAACATTGTAGAAAACACAAAGATTCTTGATAACATTAAATCCTTCAAAACTGATTCTAGAAGAAAAGTATTTCTGTAGAATTTTTAGCTATTTTTTTCTTAAAACGTAATTTATTGCTAAGGTCTTCTCTTTAATAGTGAGAAAACTTCCCCAGATTGTTTCAAAAGCCACAAAATTGGTATTAATGAATGGAATGTCTGAGTTATATTTACATCATTTCTCTCAGTTGTATTTACATCATTTACCAATCCTCTATGAACTAGTCTCTGACATATGAACTATTGTATGTTCTAATGTAGCAGAACGTTGTATTTAAAGTCTTAATGCTACTCCTCAAATTAGTATAATTTTGCTTATACTTTTGCTGGCTTGTTTTTTCATTTTGTTTTGTTTTTTTAACAATGCTATTTGAAGAGTACAAATAAAGTCTCATCAATTCTATGATGATATGTATTTATACATACATACACATTACTAGCACCTTCAAAATGGATCTGAATGCCATTGTTTTACCTGATTTCCTAATTATATAAATTATCAAATACTATTTTTAGCCAGTAGAATGTTAAGAAAGGATATAAGTAACCCAAAACAATTAAACTTCTAATTCTCCTACAAGTATCTATGTTGAAAACTAACGTTTAAAATCCTATATATATTAAAAACATATTAGGAATGTTTCATAAGAAAGTACTTTATTCTGAAAAGAAAGATTTCTATAGATACTACTTAGGTAAATATTATGTCTGATTTTTCTTTTTGAATGTGAAGTACAGCAACACATTTTGTAGAATCTTTGAAGGAGAAACTCCTGTTCTCAAACTCTGATCCTCAGATGTTCTGCAATCCTGCTGGTTCAAATAGAGAAGAGCCAAGCAGTTAGAGTTTCATGTAAAGACTAACATAAATTTTTATAAATTGCATGTCGCAGTTAAGGAAGAAACATATATAGTATGATATGAATACTCCTTGCTTCACATTTCTTTCTGCTATAGATGACCTCAAATAAAACTATTTCTACCCTTACACACTAAATCATTGACTAATATGAATAACAAAGGAGAAATGTTATCAGTTGTTCTTTCTTCCAAGAGAATAAAAACCATTGTAGAAAAATTTTTGTTTTATAACAATCTGATTTTCATTCCAATATTTGGAAAATTGCTAAATAATTTGCATGGATGTTCAAAAATACATGAAGTAATTATAACAAAAACATTTTATTGACACATTTAAACTTAAGAAAATTTGCACAAATGGCTGAAACACTTTCTACATAAAAATTTGAATGTGTCTTCACATGAAATTATTATTATTAATCACAAAATTAAATACAAAAGCACAAAAATGGATATCAAGTCAGGTATCAGGTACTAGTTTTTAATCAATAAAATTCAAGTGAAGTTAAAAATAGAGAGCTATTATGGATCAAACTGAATTTTATTCTACTAAAATTAAAGGACCATGGAAATATTTATTGTAAACTGGCCAATTGACCAGAGAAATTTTCTAAGAAAACCTTTCCATGATCAAATGAAAGTTAAGTAAAATATTAATTTTGTAAAAGTTTATTTATTTATTTATTTTTTAATTTTGTAAAAGTTTAAAAAAAATTTAGAATAATTATAACATCAATTTAAAATTTTATATGAATTAGAATGGCAAATTTAATTTTGTTTTGAAAACTTATTGAGAAATAAATATCCATAATGCAAATAAAAAGCAACAAAAAGAAAGCATATAAAACCTAAGTAACCTAATATAATCAAAGGCCAATAACTAATATGTAACTTGAACTAACTTGAGTTAATTGATCATATAGTGTCTTAAAAGTCATTTTTATGTTTCAAGTTTCAGAAAGTGAATATAGTACAAGTATTATTAAATACTCAGAATTAATAGTATTTTCCCACTTCCACTTCATCCTTTTCTCTAAAGTATTATGACTCTATTAAAAATATCAACTGTATAAGAATATATTTTAAAAATTCAAAACACAGACTATATTATTATATTTATACTAAAAATATAATAGGATCATAGGTATCACATTTATTTATTAAACATACTAGAGGCCCAATGCATGAAAATTAATGCATTGGAGGGGGCATCCCTCAGCCTGGCCTGCCCCCTCTCACAGTCTGGGAGCCTTCAGGGGAAGAAGGCGAACCAGTGATGGGGGAAGGCAACACCCCACCACACTTCTGCTGGCTGCCACTGCTGGCAGTGCAAGCCTCAACTGAGCCTTGGGTGGTCCTGGATGGCTGGGCAACCACCATCCAAGGCTTGCCTGTGCCTTACTGTGCACTTGGCACCCCAGCGGGGCTGAGGGGACTGGGCGCCACCAATATGTGACTGTGGGTGCCGCCATCTCTGAAGGTGGGGTAGTCAATTGGCATATTCCATTTTTATTGGCTGTGGACACCACCATCTTTGCAATGGCATGAGGGTCAATTAACATATTCCCTTTTTCTTAGGATAATTATATTATTTTAAAATTTAAACATTCAATAAATATTAATAATATAAACATAACATAAATATAATAAATATACTATAAATATATAACATAGATAAATATTAATATAATATTCCACTGATAGGCTGACAATGCATAATTCTTACACAATGATAATCCACTTATAAATTAGTTTTCTTTTTTTCTTTTTGTTTTCCTTTTGGGTTCCTTGCATTTGGAGTTAAGGCATCATTGTTTTCCCTTACAAACTTTTCGTATAGGACAAATGCAATACCAGTGAAGACGATGGTGGATAGTTTGCCAAGAACACCTAAATTAAAAAAAAAAATACAACCATCAGATTTGTCAATTTATTTAAAGTAAAAATGTTTACGGAAAGACTGCCACTCACCAAAGAAAAGGAAGTATATTTTATCTTTAAATGTACCAATTTCCCGATGTAATTAATGTCATAAACATATCAAGTTATTTAAAGGAGATTTTAAAAATGTTTACACAACTTTTTTTTTTTTTATTCCTCACCCAAGGATATTTATCCATTGATTTTCAGAGAGAGAGTGAAAGACACAGAGAAATATTGATATGAGAGAAACACATTGATTGGTTGTCTCTTTCAAGTGCCCCAAACAGGGTATGTGCCCTTTACTGGGATCAAACCCGGAACCCTTCCATCCACAGGCCGACACACTATCCACTGAGCCAAACCAGCTAGGGCTACAAAACCTTTTAGATTTCTTAGACATGAGTCCTAGAAATATGCAACATGTGCTATTATTTTACAGAATATCAAGATGTCTACCTTCAAAACTTAATTAGTAATAAGAACTAGAACCTGTTTAAGTCATTTCATAAAACTTTACTTTTCTTGAACTATTGTATTTATGATTTTCCAATATAAACAGAAGTATTTTACAAATATCAATTGATTGTACAGTGTTTAAAAAGTCATTTTCATGTTTCAAGTTCCAGAAAGTTAATATAGTACAAGTATTATTTAAAAGTAGTTTAACTTGCTGAAACTGGTTTGGCTCAGTGGATAGAGCATCGGCCTGTGGATTGAAAGGTCCCAGGTTTGATTCTGGTCAAGGGCTTGTACCCAGTAGGGGGTGTGCAAGAGGCAGCTGATGGATGATTCTCTCATCGATGTTTCTAACTCTATCTCCCTCCCCCTTCCTCTCTGTAAAAAAAGATCAAAATATATTTAAATAAACAAACAAACAAATAAACAAATAAATAAATAAATAAAAGCATTTGAACTTTGGGTGAAAATAAACATGTTGATTACAGTAAAAAAAATATTGCCCTGGCTGGTGTGGATCAGTGGCTAGAGCACTGGCCTGTGGAGTGAATGGTCTCCAGTTGGATTCCAGTCAAGGGCAAATGCCCAGGGTTGTGGGCTCGATCACAGTGCGGAGCATGCAGGAGGCAGGTGGTCAGTGATTCTCTTTCAGCATTGATGTTTCTATCTCTCCCTGTCCCTTCCTCTCTGAAATCAATAAAAATATAATTTTAAAAAATATTTCAGAGCCACAATATCAATTATCTAACAATATTAATAATAGTGGCTTCAAAAGATAAAATAGAAAAAATTAATGAGTATGACATTTATAATGACACAATAATATTTCATACATTTAAATACTATAGCCAAACACCATAAACAACCCAAATGTACATAAAGGAGAACAGATAACCTACAGTACATACACAAAAAATTTTTTAAAAATTTAAAAGCACTAACTACTGCTATAGAATAATATGAATATTTAAAGGCTCAGCAGTATTTTAAGAGGAATTCGTAATGGTTTTGTTGAATTATCTCTGGAAAAATTATTTTGACTTCTTTTTTTTAAAATATATTTTATTGATTTTTTTATAGAGAGGAAGAGAGGGATAGAGAGAAACATCGATGAGAGAGAATCATTGACCAGCTGCCTCTTGCACACCCCCTATTGGATATGTGCCCGCAACCAAGGTACATGCCCTTGACCGGAATAGAACCCGGGACCTTTCAGTCCACAGGTTGACGCTCTATCCACTGAGCCAAACAGGTGCCGGCTATTTTGACTTCTTAAATGTCATTTTTACTTTTTAATATTTTTCTTAAATTTTACTTTATTCAGGTTAAATGTTGACTAAGTTTGCTGGAAAATTAATTTCTGAATTAGAAGGCACTACTGTATACTGTTTATCAAACAAATAATTGTTCCTGTTAAATATTAGAGCCTATCATTATGTGGTTCTTTGAAGTACTGAACTCAGTAAAATCACAAAACATAAAAAAGCACTTTAAATTATTTATCACACCAATAGCATCTATTAGTATACAATAAAAATCATTCAATGTTAATAATGATTAAGACTTCAGAAATTATGTAGTCTAAATCTTCTTTTTACAGATGAAAACATTGAAATACAGGAAGATTAGTGATGTTTCCCAAGTAATATCTAGACTTCCCAACATTATCCCCAATAGCTCACACCACCCTAGTATCTCATTTCCCTATATCTCTTATTTGTTCAATCATTACTGGATGCTTGCTATGTGCCAAGCACTGTTATATCATTGAGCATGAGACTATATGAAATTTACATTTAAGTGGGGTAAGAGTATGTTGATGCTCTTTAGTAGTGCCAAAAAATAATTAAAAAATATATATTTTATTGTTTTTTTACAGAGAGGAAGGGAGAGAGATAGAGAGTAAGAAACATTGAAGAGAGAGAATCATTGACCAGCTGCCCCCCACACACCCGCTACTGAGGATGTGCCTGCAACCAATGTACATGCCCCTGACCGGAATCGAACCTGGGACCCTTAAGTCCGCAGGCTGACGCTCTATCCACTGAGCCAAACTGGTTTTGGCCAAAAAATAATTTTTAATCATACAATCTTTTACTGTGGAAAGGGAAAGGGTCACAAGATCAAATAACTTGGTTAGATATGTATACAGGCAAAATTACTCCCGAAATGAAAATTCTGATAATCACCACTCTCTACTCAGGAATCATATAAAACAACAGTGTATTTAATGTAGTGACCCAATTATTTACATAAATTCTATAATACTTTAGTTTCAAAAATATTTCCTATGTAATGATATAAGGCTTCTTTAATCATCAAAGTATCCATTTGTTGATCGTTTATTATGACTGTACTTTACTTTAAATAACCATAAGGTTTTAAAATAACTTTACTTCTTTACATTTCTTTAATAGATATCACTTACATATTCCTAAAAATAGGTAGGCCATTTTTATTCCGTCATAGATCCAACAACTTCCTGTGCCTTCACACTGTCCACTATCCCGAAAGGTACAAGAAGTTTCTCCTACCATTTTAAAAACTATTGGTCCAGGTATAGTCCCTATGAAAAATGCAGTAGTTGTTAATTCTGTATAAAAACATTATAGGTTGGTATCAGAATAATTTTCATCCTAAAATTAAATATCTATCTATCTATCTATCTATCTATAATAAATTTAGTTATCATCACTGTAAACATAACATTTTAAATTATCTAAAAATTGGTCCTGGATAATAATATAAAATAGTCTAAGAATTTACTTATAGATAATATTGTTAATAATTAGAAACAACGTGTTTTTGAAAAATCCTTATCCTTGGTAGAATTGAATCTTTTCAGAATAGTGTGCATGATGTCATTTAGTTGACATCTCAAAATTGTTGTGAATTTTTTAGTGAAATATTTAAGAAAAAGGTATTTTAAACATAAGATACTAAATACTGATTTTAAGAACCACTATCCAATATCAGAAACCCCTGTCTCAGTGAGTGCTGTCGTGTTGTATATAATGGCTCAAGGTAAAAAATCCTAAGCCTATTATGCTTTTTCTCCATTTCCCATGATAATTTTCCAATCCATGATAAACCTTTCTAACACTAACTCCAAACATACAGTATATTGGATGTGTTGATTTCTCTTTGTCTATACTGCAACCCCAGAATCTAATTTATTGTGAATATGAATTATATTTTAGAACCTCCATTTCCATTTTCTGCACATTATATTCTATTATTTCTTCCTTCAGCAACAGAGTTATATTTTAAAAGCAAATCAGATAAAATAATTCTTCAGTTTAAAATTCTCTGATGCTACAGAGAATTTTAGAAACAGTCTATATCTGAAACATCTTATACTACCCACACCCATTTAAAAATGCATGTCTCACTGGGTTCTTTTCTGTCTATGAATTTGCTGTTTGTTATGCTCCATCTTCCATTAACCTGTTAACGGAGTGGGACATATACATACGTCAAACGTAAACAATATAGGGTACAGGTAGGACATATGAATACGTCTTTGAAATATATGTTGCGCCCTGAAATGGGCGTGATGTATATTTCCAAACAACAAAGGTATTAGTCATCCATACATGTCTCCACATGAATTTAAGACACGGAGGGAATCAGTATAATTTCGCTAGTGAGAGTGGTGGACGTGTTCAACAAGAATTGTTTTGGAGTTAACACATGACTTACTGAATAAAGGGTATAGGATTTACTTAGATAATTTCTATACGTCAATTCATTTGGCTGAACTCTTGTGTCAAAATAATACAGACATTGTTGGAACAATGAGGATAAACAGAGTCGGAATCCCCAGTGAAATAAAAACAAAAAAATTACAGAAAAATGAACATATAGTAAGATTCAAAGACAAACTTATGGTTTTAAAATGGAAGGATAAAAAGACGTATTGATGTTCAGTTCTATTCATAATGATGAAAAGACAAGGATTGAAAAGAGAGGAAGAAGGCAAGAAAAACCGAACGTTGTCCTGCGAGGATTTGGTAGATGGAGTTATGGTGGCCTACAAGGCTGCCCGTAATAGGGTAAAAAAAAATTTCTACGATTAATTGATATGTGCTGCTTCAATGCATATATTATATACAAAAAAGATAAAGGTCATTTGGATCTATTACACTTTTTGATAGAGTGTGTAGAGAAATTGGTAGATAAAACATAGTGAAAACCCACCCAAAGACATCAACAAGCAGCTGTACATCTAAACCATCACGCTTAGTTGAAAGGCATTTTCCAGAACAAATGAAAAGCGATAAAGAAAAAACTAAATCCAGGAAATGCCGAGTTTGCTACAAAAAAGGTGTTAGGAAAGAATCTACATACTGGTGTCCAGATTGTAAGGTAGCACTATGTATCAATAATTGTTTTAAAATATATCACACGGAAGTTGAATTTTGAATTTTTACATCTATATTTCAATTTTTTAAACTCAATATTTCTATTTTATTTGTGTGCTTTTGTTTATTGTTCTGTAATTGTTAACTTTTTTATATTTTTTATTGTGTATCAAAGTAAAAAATATAGATTTTTTGTAATCTTTATAATTGTTTGTAAAATTTATAATATTTTAATTTGATGTTTCCATTTTTTTGTTGGTATTCTTTTCTATTTGTTTGTAATTTTGTATTTTCCTTTCTGTTTTATATATAAATAAATAAATATATATATATATATATATATATTTCATAGTCTTTTCATTTATTTTAAGTATAAAAAAATAATAATATGAAATTACGTCCTCCGGGCGTGATGTACTGGCACGTCCTAGTGAAAGAGTATGCGCCTGTTATATGTTGCGTAATTAAAAAGGGAATTCCCCGGTTAACAGGTTTTAAAAGTCTGTCCTTGTCTAGTGGACCATTGTTCACTATAAAAATATCCTCTATTTTTCCCCCCGTTAAAGCTAATTTTAACCCTGCCTACTAATGTAGCTATGGAATGATTTCTCTGATCCACATCAGAGCCACACTTAAATTTTTCTACATTCTTTTTTTTTAAAAAAACAAAACAAAACAAAACAGTTGTTGTTATTTTTATTTATTTTTTTATTTTTCAGGTTTTTATACATATATATATATATATATATATATATATATATATATATATATATAATTTTTTTTTTACAGAGAGGAAGAGAGAAGGATAGAGAGTTAGAAACATCGAGAGAGAATCATCGATCAGCTGCCTCTTGCACACCCACTACTGGGGATGTGCCCACAACCAAGGTACATGCCATTGACCAGAATTGAACCTGGGACCTTTTAGTCCGCAGGCAGACGCTCTATCCACTGAGCCAAACCGGTTTCGGCCAATTTTTCTACATTCTTAACTTCATTTATCCTGTCTTTCAGTCTTCAGTTTAATCTTATTTTCTTACCCCACCAATGTTTTCAATCAACTTCTTGAATAGGGGTCCTAATAATAGTCATACTGTGGATTTGAAAGCTAGTTTTTGCTATTTTAAGAAAGCCTGGAGAACAGAGTGCATTACCCTCAGCAAAATTAATTTGTACTTTGGATACAAATCTTTAAAAACATCAGATTCAGTGACTTTGATAATGAAATGTTTAAAAGCACTCATCTAAGTTATTGACTTCTCAAATAAAAAGTAATGAATAATTATTATGCTTATATGTTTTATTTCAGCTTCACACACCAACTGGATGAACCTGATGAACATACTTCTGATCAAATAAATGATCTCTTTTAATTGAATATAACATTAATGCATATTTTATGTGACAGGATGGGTTATATTATCTTTTTACATTGTTTTGTCTCCCCCATTCACTTGTTTTGCTGATTGCCATTATTATCTATTTGAAATTGTAAATGTACATGTGAAAATATAGACACATGAAAATATGAACATTTCAATGCAATAAAAAATTGCTAAAAGTTCATACCAAATACTCTCAAAAACACATAGGTCAAACCCATCGCTAGAGAACGTTGTTTCTCAGCTACAATCCTGCAAGCAAATAGCAATATTATTAAAACATTGTTATCATTAGTTTCAGAGAAAGTTTTCTAGATTCAAGGTTAATTTTTTCCCAGTATATGAATGAAACTAAGAATCTTTGGATAATTAACAAAATTTGATCTGCTTCAATTAAAGAATTACAACTCCTCCCATTTCTCCATACCCTGCCCTTTGCCAACCAATTCTGAGATTTTGCTCTTCACAAGGGGTAAGCAGTTATGGCCCAAATCCCTGCCCCAGAATCCTGAAAAAAATAAATAAATAAATCATAGTTTCCCCACTTCTCTTTCTTCATTCTTTGGTTTTATTTCTTTATTTTTTTTAATATGTTTTTTTTCCATGCACCCACCCTCCGCCAGCCTTCCCTTAGAGATTTCTCACTCTGTTCCATGCTTCTCTGTTTTTGGATGAACGTTTTGTTAATTAGATTCCACATATGAGTGAGGATCACATAAGACTTGTCTTTCTCTGACTGGCTTATTTCACTTAGCATAATACTCTCCAGCTCCCTCTATGTGGTCTCAATGGGTAAGAGATTCTTCTTTTTTACTTCTGCATAGTGTTCCATGGTACAAATGTACCACAGCTTTTTTATCCACTCATTTACTGATTGGCGCTTTGCTTGTTTCCAGATCTTAGCTATTGTTAATTGTGCTGCTATGAACATAGGGGTGCATATTTCTTTCTGATTGGTGCTTTAGTTTTCTTAGGATATATTCCTAGAAGTTGGATTATTGGGTCAAATAGCAGTTCCATATTTAACTTTGTGAGGAAACTTCATACTGTTTTCCACACTGGTTGCACCTGTCTGCATTCCCACCAGAGGCACAGAAGCATAGAACAGACTGGTGAATATCAGAGGGAAGGCAGGAGAGGGTGTTTGGGTGGGCAAAGATCAACCAAAGTACTTCAATGCATATATGTATAACCCATGGACATAAACAATAGGGTGGTGAAGGCTTGGGGTGGAGAGTGGGGACAGAATATAAAGGATAAATGGGGAGAAAGGAGGACGTATATAATACTTTCAACAATTAAGATTTAATTCTTTTAAGAGTCTAAAAAATAAGAAGGGGAGCAGGCTGGAAGAGGTTAATGGGGGATAATGGAGGACCTATATAATACTTTTAACAATAAAGATTTTTTTAAAGTAAAATAAGAAGAAGAAATAAAATAAAATTATGTCCTAAATTCTTTCCTCTTTTAGTTTTCCCTCTTTCATCATCTTCCACACTATTTTCAAGGTACTCTATCTAAAATGCATATTTGAAAAATGAATAAATAAGTAAAATGCATATTTGGTCACTTTTACTTCTGAAGTTTATTGTCAATGACTTCTGGGTGTACATGGGATAACATCATTCACATTAGCATGGCAAAGAAAACCATACATTATTAGGTCCTAAGGAAGCTCAAATCTCCTTGTCCCATTTCACCATTATATTACTCCTGTCATAACAAAACTCCTTGCCCACATATTTTATGCGTTTAGCATCTATTTTCACTGCTCACTTTTCCTATTGAAAACTTGTCCCCAGTCTACTTGCATTATGAGAAATTACTTATCTTTATAACTTAGTTCAAGTGTTACACCTTCTGTAAGTTTTCTAAATTTTCCTAAGTAAAAATTACCATTTTCTTCACTTTGTTCTGGGTCAGTTTTATAAGCTTTAAACAAGGCACCTCTAACTATTCAATGTACTTCTTTTTATTTTTTTTATTTTTTTAAAATATATTTTTATTGATTTTGCACAGAGAGGAAGGGAGAGAGATAGAGAGTTAGAAACACCGATGAGAGAGAGTCATCGATCAGCTGCCTCTTGCACACCCCCTACTGGGGATATGCCCGCAACCAAGGTACATGCCCTTGACCGGAATCGAACCCGGGACCTTTCAGTCCCCAAGCCAACGCTCTATCCATTGAGCCAAACCGGTTTCGGCCAATGTAGTTCTTTTTAAGTGTTTTTCTCCCCCTATTAAACTCTAATAAACTTAAAGTCAATGTCCATATCTTATTGGTCCTTATAGTTTAAGTGCCAGACATATGTATGTATAAGTAATAAGCCGAAACTGGTTTGGCTCAGTGGTAGAGCGTCGGTCTGCGGACTGAAAGGTCCCAGGTTCGATTCCAGTCAGGGGCATGTATGTTGGTTGCGGGCACATTCCTGGTGGGAGGTGTGCAAGAGGCAGCTGGTCGATGTTTTTTTCTTATCGACATTTCTAGCTCTCTATCTCTCTCCCTTCCTCTCTGTAAAAATCAATAAAATATATTTTTAAAAAATGTATAAGTAATAAAAAAAGCTGCTTCTTATATTTATATGTTCAAGTTTCATCCTCCATTTCAGTTGCAACCTCATTGCCCTGGCCCAGTAGCTCAGTTGGTTAAAGTGTTGTCCTGCTAAGCCAAGGTCTTGGGTTTGATCATGGGTCAGGGCATATACGAGAATCAACCAATGAATGCATAAATAAGTGGAAAGCAAATCTCTTTCTTTAAAATCTATATTAAAAATGTTTTTAATTGCAAGACCATTGAAGGCAGAGACCACATGTGCCCAATTCAGATTTTATTTCTGCACATAATTATTCATGTTCTCTAGTCTACTTTCTTAAGGGGCAAAAAAATTGCTCCCCATGACTTAAATTCATATGTTAGTCCCTGGGAAAAATAATTTTAAGATAATGACCCATTTTTCTATTAATGTGATAAAATATTGTCTATTTTACATATTCTGGAAAAACAAAAGAATAACAAATGCTATTTTAATTTAGAAAAATGTTAAACATATGTAGCAAAATTCTAAAAAGTGTGTTCCTTTGTTGATAATACTGATGTTTTTTCATAGTTAAATTTGCTAATAGAGAAGTAAATATTCAATAAATACCTACAACCAATGACTCAACATTATAATTTGATCTGTGTTGTAATTAAGAACTTTCCTATATTTATGAATTTTCTGGGTGTGGTACATTAAATATTTAAATTTAGTTTTGTTTTATGTTAAAGCTAAATTAAATGGGGTATCTATAGACTATTCAAATAAGTTAGATAAAGAATTAGACATACACATAAATTTTGATGATGTAACAATTTGCCTATATATGAATTTTCTATGTTAATGCTAATTACTTAATTTGAACTAAATTTGATATCATTGGAATTTATGCAAATAAATTAATCAAAATAGAGAATTAAACATACACATTAATTTGGAGAATGTAACAATTTCCCCTCTAGCAGTAACCTACAGTGAAACAAAATAGTAAACAATTTACTACTATATTTTAAATCTTCCTAAAAGTTGTCTTCTTATATACTAAAAGTAAATTATTATGAATAATAATATACATACCGAAGGATGATCAACATGTTTGGTATACCAGAGAAACCAGCAAATACAATCATTGAAAAGAAAAAAACAATGAACATAGGTAATTTATAGCAATCTGATTTACATTTCCCAAGTCTGGCATCAATAAAATCACCTTGCTCATCTGATATTGTTATTCCTTCATCAATGCAAGAACAATTGAAATATGTCTATGATAAAAAAGATGGAAAATTATCTTTTAGAAATATAATCATAAAGAAAAAACTTGTTACTGTAAAATAAAACTAAATCAATAACTACATGGAGACTAGCTAGTTGTATTAGTAAATGCCCTTACATTAAATATGCCAGTCATCATTTAGAAATGAAACATTAATGATAAGTCCAAGCTATTTTACCTAACAAAAATTCAAGTATTTGTGTGTGTGTGTGTGTGTGTGTGTGTGTGTGTATGTAATTATAGTTACTTAGAAAAAGTTCTATTAATTTAAGAAATTCCACCAAAAATATTTACACCTAAAAGCACAAATAATTTTTGGAGAGCTATGTAAATTGAGGGGAATTAAGTATACTGTAATAAATAAAATTGAACTTTAGCTGATATGGACAGTTACCCAACTATGGAAGGTTTGGGGACTATACTGCAAAGATAAGACTTTATTTTCTATGTAATGATGGAAGGGATATTATCTATTCAGCAGAATAGGCATTATTTAGGGCACTAATACATTAAGGACACATACAACTGTTGTAATTCCAGTGTCTTTTAAAAATTTTTTAAAATATATTTTATTGATTTTTTTACAGAGAAGGGAGAGGGATAGAATCAGAAACATCAATCATTGCCTCTTGCACACCCGCTACTGGGGATGTGCCCACAACCATAGTACATGCCCTTGACTGGAATTGAACCTGGGATCCTTGAGTTCGTAGGCCGATGCTTTATCCAGTGAGCCAAACCAGTTAGGGCTTTTAAAAATTTTTAAATGAATATAATAATAATGAATCATACTAGTACAGGTATACATTGATTTTTACAAATTAATTTAATTTTTTATTTTTTTATTTTGTTGCTTACAAAGGCAAAGTACTTAGGGCCAATAAAAGGCACAATACATCCCTAAGTGGGAGCCAATGAAAATTTGGGGTAGTTATTGTAGGGCTGATAATTCAAGAAAGATGAAAAAGTGATATTTCCAAGAACTAACCAGATTTTGATGATACAGAGAACAATTAGGAATTTACTAATCTATTTAAAATATTCTAGTTTAAAAAATTATCATAAATTCAACAGAAATAGGGAACTAGGTTACTAGAGAAGGTATAAGAGGTAACAAAAATGACTTGAATCAAAGAAAAGTGAATTAATTTTTTAAAATGACTTAAATCTGAATGATTCATAAAATGATCATCCAAAAATCATCTCAGTTTGTAGGAGTTACTAAGTAGTTACTAAATATGTCAAAAAAAAAAAAAAGAGATAGAGAGAGAGATATTGGGGGGTGGGAGGATGGGGAGGTAATGGGGAATAAGGACACATATGTAACACCTTAATCAATAAAGAAATTTATTTTTAAAAATTAAGTTGAAAGAGAGAGAGAAGAAATATCTAAACTGCCAAATTATTCATTCCACCATATTTTTTTAGTGCTGATGTACTAAATACTAAACATCATTCTTGGTGTTAATGAAAACACATTAAACAATACAATAGAAATGTAGGACTTCTAGGGGTAAACTTCTCATAATGAGTGACTACCTCAATGACTACATCTCAGGTAGGAAAGCAAAATCATGCTTCATAAAAGCAAGGAGAAAAATGTGGCTGAAGCAGAGTGAACATGAAGCAAACTAAGAGAAAATAAAATTAATGAGGGGAGATTCAATTATACAAAAACTGATAAATTACAACACCAATTTAAGAACTTTGGTTTTTAAACTTAGTAATGTGAGTGGCCAGATTAGGTTGGCTGGCGGGCCTGCTGGTTGAACTCCTGGTTGAGGGGACAATTTGCCTATTAGCCTTTTATTATATAGGATATACACTGAGTGGCCAGATTATTATGCATTCAGAAATCATAATAATCTGGCCACTCAGTGTATGTTTAAACCATAGGCCTGGTTTATGAAAATTTATCCACTTGGGGGGAGGAGGTGAAAGGGCCCTTCAGCCTGGCCTGCATCCTCTGACAATCCTGGAGCTCTCAGAAGATGTCTGACTGATGGCTTAGGCCTGCTCCCTGGGGACTAAGCTACAGTCTGGCCTCACTCTGTGGGAGGCAACCAGGTAGGCTGATCAGGGGATGGTGTAGCCGGTGAGTAGCCGGCCCCACCCCTCAGTCACCTCTCTGTTGCCACTGGTCACCGTCACCCCCCAATCACTACTATCCCCTCTCTCTGCCCACTGATGTGCGCATTGGCTGGCCTTGCACCACGTGCTTGCCAGCCCCACCCCCATCAACCATCGTTCAGCTATTCAGATACACTTTTATTATATAGGACTAGAGGCCTGATGCACAAAATTTGTGCAAGACTAGGCCTTCCTTCCCCCAGTTGCTGGCATCAGCTTCCCTCTGGCACACAGGACCCAGGCTTCCCTCCAGCAGCTGGCAGGCACCCAGAACCCAGCTTCCCTCAAAGCCCCAGCTTCATCCGGAAGGTCATCTGGTCTAATTAGCATATTATCCTTTTATTATTATAGATGATATTTTTTAATTAAGGTATTATATGTGTACATATCTTACCTATAGATGATATTTTAAAATGTCACTTGGTTATTATATTGAGACTACTAGTCTCACCTATGATTGTTAAGGTGAAAGCAGAGACAGCATTAAAAAGCTCTTGAATCAAGCCCTAGCCAGTTTGGCTTGGTAGATAGAGCATCGGCCTATGGATTGAAGGGTCCTAGGTTTGATTCTGGTCAAGGGCACATGCCCAGGTTGTGGGCTTGATCCCCAGTGGGGGTGTTCAGGAGGCAGCTGATCAATGATTCTCTCTCATCATTGATCTCTCTCTCTCTCTCTCTCTCTCTCTCTCTCTCTCTCTCTCTCTCTCTCTCTCTCTCTCTCTCTCATCTCTCATCTCTCTTGCCCTTCCTCTCTGAAATCAATATCTTGACACAAGGTACAAGGCAATGGTGATTGGGATCAGATTAAGGATCAGAGGAAATGAACAATAGATAGATCCAGCATTTATTCTGAAAGTAAATTTGAGCAGCCATGCGCAGCCCGCCCTGGTCCGAGGAGCAGCAGCTAGTGATAAGCCCACCCCTGATTTGAATGAATTTTCTGAAGGACCTTAAAGTAGAAGTGGTTATCAAAAGGAGATAGTTATGTGGAGGCTTCCCTGAAAGAAACTAAGACCTTCCATCCAGAGAGGCCATTAGTCCATGGTTCAGAGAGAGAACCAAAAAAATAAACACAACTTCACTGTTTTTTCACCATCTTTCTGATTTTTCCACTAGAACTCTTACTTTAATCCAGCCAGAAACTGGAAGGTAAAAGAGCTCTCATTCTATATATCAGTCTCCTGGAACAATGAGAAGGGTAAAGAAAGATGAAAAGTAGATGTGGGTCAGACATAAGATATATAGTACAAAAAATGGTTGCATGCTATAGAACCCAGGCTGACTAAAAGCAGAAGTGAAAATATGAAGAAGGTTTAAGTGAACAGATTATAGAATCACCAGATATTAGGCTCTGAGAGGATCAAAAAACTATGGAATTCTATTCAAAGAGACAGAACTAAAATGCCAAAAGTTATATAAAAATTAAATAGTAAAATATATTTAATTCAAACAATAAAAAGGAAGGTAGGTCTTTTTAAAAATATATTTTTATTAATTTCAGAGAGGAAGAGAGGGAGAGAGAGATAGAAACATCAATGATGAGAGGGTATCATTGATCAGTTGCCTGCATGTTCCATACTGGGGCTCAAGCCAGCAACCTGGGCATGCGCCCTGACTAAGAATCAAACCATGACCTCTTCATTGATAGGTTGGTGCTCAACCACTGAGCCACACCTATGATCAGGAAGGTATAACTTAACCCACCATGGCAATAATTATAATAAATGTCAATACTCTAAAATCTCCAATTAAAAAAAGCAAAACCACATTATATGCTGGCTACAAAAGACACTTTACACATAAAGACACAAATATTTGAAAAATAAAATGATAGAAGTAAGATGCACCATGGGAAAAAATCACTAAGGAAAGCTAGAGTAACTATTTAATATATAAAATGTAATATATTACTTAAAGACAAGAGTATTACCAGAAATGGAAAAAGAGATTTTATAAATATAAAATAAACAATTAGATGTGACAATTATAAAAAATTATGCACATAATAACACATCCTGAAAATACATGAAGCCAAATAATAAATATGATATGAGTTATTTTTCCTACACACCATTTAGGATTTAATATAATATTACAAGGTTTGTAAACTGATAAAAATATTTAGCTTAAAATTAAGAGAGAAACAAATATAAATAGACTCATAGTTTATCTAGATAGTGGACTTAATAGAAAGAACTTTAAAATCACTCTGATTTTTTTAAATGGATGGTAAAGTGGATAAAATATCTTAAATGATGCGAAATTTAACAGGATTTGGATTTGACAAAAACTTAAATGTTAGAACTGAAAAATATGATGAGTAAACTTAGAACCTCTTAATGGACTTAAAAGTAGATACTGGAGAATAGAGAATGTGACAAGTCAACAGAAAGTACATACATTTAAGCAAAAAGGTGGAAGGAGATGGAAAATAGAGAAAAGAACAAAAGAGTACTGGACACAGTGGAAAGGTCTATTTGTAGTCTGTGGTAGGCAGAATTCTAAGATGGCACCTAAAATCCACCCCCCTCTTCATGGGACATCATACCTAGGACTGTGAATTAATGGATTCTACACATTTTACTAAGTTACATTATTATATGGAATAGTTGACTTTTTAAAGGAGAAAGTAAAGCTCATTTAATCAGGTAAGCCTTAAAAGGTACTGAGCTTTTCCTGAAGTCGGAGATTCAAAGCATGTGATAAGGGAGATTTTCTGTTGCTGGCCTTGAAGATGAGGGGGAGTCATGTGACAAAGAATTGGGCCCTCAAAGAGCTAAAATTGGACCTAGCAGACAGATAGCAAGTGAAGAGGGGCCCCATATTTTATAGACCAAAGAACTGAATTAACCAACCTCGTAAGGAGATTCTTTCCAAGAGCCTCCAGAAAGGAATGCAGCTCAACCAACACCCTGATTTTAGCCTAAGACCCTGAGCAAAGGAGCTTGTCATATCTGTCATAATTTGGACTTGTGACCGTAGAACTGTGAGCTAATAAATGGGTATTATTTAAGACAAAATGCATTGGTACTTGCAAGAGTATATTAATATACCTCTCCCTTCCCCACAAAACACACACACACACACACACACACACACACACACACAAGTGAGACAGAAATAGCTGAGAGTTTTCCAACTGATAGACAGAAATCTACAAACTAAAGATGTTCTATGAAACCCAACCAAAATAAATACAATGAAAATGATATCTAGGCACATTAAAGTAAAACTACCGGGAGGGGAAGAGAGAGAGGAGAGAGGAGAGAGGGGAGGAGAGGGGAGGGGAGGGGAGGGAAGGGAGAGAGAATAAGTCCTAAAAGCAGCCAGAGACATAGATAACATAATGGCATCTTTCAAAATGCCAATATAGAATTCCATACCCAGTGAAAACAGGTTGTTTTTTTTTGTTGTTTTGTTTTGTTTTGTTTTTTTAAATAAAAGAAGGTGAAATATGGTTCCTCAGGAAGAAAGAAAATGATCTCATATGAAAGCAAGGAAATGGTTAGGTAAATATAAATGCATACCAACTATACAAAATAACAACAATAATAGTACATTTCATTAAAAACATATGAAAATGTATGAGATAAAGAAGTATATTGAAAAAAGCACAAACAGACTTGGGTTTGAGTCAAAGATCTATGCCTTAGGGGAACCATGACTTTATATAGCTTACCTACTCTTCTGATCAGTTCCTCAAGCTTACTCAAAACATGATATGAACTTTCATTTTGTAGTTTTCCCAAGTGTAGTAAGAAAATCTTATGACAAATATCATGGAGCAAACTTTATATGTATATGCACATATATTTTTAAATAAAATACTTCTATATTAAAACAAAACAAAACATATGACAAAAAGAACACAACAGAGAAACCAAGATGTCAGCATAGGTAAACACCTAAACTGCTGCATCACACAAAAATTTGAAAACTACAACTAAACGACAGAACCACAGGAAAGCTGGTGGAGTGGAAATTCTACATATAGAAAGGAAAGAGAATCAGAGGAGCTGATTATTATATTATAACTAATAAAGGACTTTACTGCTTAATAAGGAGGTAGTATGATGTCTATAGGTCAGGAAATACATGTCTGTTTTTCTCCCCTTTTCAAAACTACCCAGATGAGAAAAAGATTGAATTTTTAAAGCCTGAATCCCTACTTCTGTTCTACTTAAAGAGGAGAAGCTGAAGTTACAGTCTATTACTTAGATAAAAGCTCATTTATGCAACTTTGGATATAAGAAAATGAATCTGGAGTCAAACAAGTAGCTGAGTATTTAGCTGCTTTCCATGACAAAAAAAAATTTGTCTATGGGTTGGTAAAAAACCTAGGGAAATAAGGAATTCTGACAGAAATGGCCCCCAAAATGAATATATAGGGGAATTTTAAAATGAGACCCGATTCATGTAAATATCAAAGAACAAACAGGGAAAACAAATGTTCAATTTTAAATTATGTGCATAGTTGCCATAGTGTAAACATCATCCACAAACTCAACCCCTTACTGGAGAGAAAAAAGCATAGCTCAAATAATTACCTTTTCATTTTGAAATGTTTTAGATTGATTACAGCCTGCAAAGCAAGGAGAAAAATATGCAATATTATCTCTTCCACATATAGCAAGATAAAATGAAGATGAGCATCTACAATGAGAATTGCAAGGAGCTGCCAGGTTTCCCAACTTCCCTGTTCTGTAAAAGAAGAGATTGAATGTGATTATAATGCCATTGTATATTTATTAATGTATACATCAAGGTATCAATGAGATCCATAAAATATTTTTTAAATTCCTTTATTAAAGTATAACTGACATAGAATAAACAGTTTAAATATATGTATATTCTCTCCCACTCCCTTCCTCTCAGAGAGGAAGGGAGTGGGAGAAAAAGATAGAAACATCAATGATAAAAGAGAATCATTGATGGGCTGCCTCCTACACACCACCTACTGGGGATCAAGACCACAACCTAGGCATGTGCCCTTGACCGGAATTGAACCTGGGATCATTCAGTCTGCAGGCCGACACTCTATCTAGCCACTGAGTCTAACTGGCTAAAACCATCAGCACAATCATATTAACAATCAACTGCCCCAAAATTTTCCTTGTGCTCCTTTGTAATTCCTCCACTCCCTGGCATCTGTCTGACACTATCATTAGCTTGAATTTCATAGCATTTTGTGAAATATAGTAGTACATTATGTCCGTTTTCTTTGTCAGGCTTCTTTCATGTAGCTGATCCTTATGTGGTCTTTGTATGGTCATATACTTTCATGTCTCTTGAATAAATATTAAGGAGTCGAATGTTTGGATAATATGGTATGTGTTCATTTAACTTCTAAGAAACTGTCAGTTTCCACAGTGGTTGTGTTATTTTACATTCCCATCAAAAGTGTATAAGACTTTCAGTTGGCTTTCTGTATTCCTCATCAACACTTAGCATGATCAGTCTTTTTTATTTTAGACATTTTAAGAGGAATATAGTAATTTCATATTGTAATTTTTAATATGAATTTCCCTAATGACTAATGTTGTTGCTCATCTTTTATCATATTTACCATTAAGTATTTATTTCTCTTGATATGAACATCAATATTTTTATTTAATATATATGTCCAGTTGTTTGTAAATAGCACATAGAAATACTATACATTCCTGTATTATTAATCTTTTCTTGATACTATTGTTAACAATATTATTTTTAATATTAATTTCTGCCAATTTTATGCAGTAAATAGAAGTACCATAGAATTTTGTATGTTGCTCTTGCATCCTTCAAACTTGCCAAACTCATTTTACTAGTTTTAAATTTTCTATACAGACAAATAAATACAGATGCACTTCTACTTTACCTATCTGAATGCCTTCATTTTTCTTCCAGTAATGACTAGAGCCTCCAAAACAATGTTGATATAGAAGTCTTCAACACAAACATTCTTTTTTTTCAATATATTTTTTTTATTAAATTATTATCTGTGTACATATTTTACCATTGCCCCCCTCCCCAAACAAACAAACATTCTTATTGCATTCCTGGTCATTCAGTGGTTTATCGTTCTCTTAGTTTGCTCAGCCTGCTATAACAAAACAATCAACTGGGTGGCTTAACCAACAGACATTATTTTGAACAATCCTGGAAGCTAAGTCTAAGCTCAAGGTGCAAGCAGTTCTGATGTCTGGTGTAGGCTCTCTTACTGGACTGAAGACCATAATCCTCTCAGTGTACCTTCACATGAGGAATAGAGGAAAGGCTTTGGTCTTTTCCTCATCTTCTGAGGTTACTAATCCCATTGTGTGTGTGGGGGATCTACTCACATGGTCTCATCTAATCCTAGTTATCTCCTAAAGGCTCTACCTCTTAATACTATTAAGCTGATGATTAGGGCACATAAATTTGGTGGGAGATGGAAACACATTCAGTACATAATAATCACTAAGTATGATGTTAGTTTTATATTTTCATAGATTCCCTTCCATCCCTAGTTTCCTAAATTGTCAGAGTGCTCTTTTGGCATCTATTCACATTATATAATTTTTTTTCATTTTTAGTTTGTTGATATGGTGAATATGTATTTTAAATCTCTATTGTTGAAAGTAATACATATGTCTTCTTTTTCCCTCCATTGACTCCTCCTAGCCCAGCCCTCACACACACCCCCCCCAATCCCACCCCAGTCTTTCACCACCCTGTTGTGTGTATCCATGGATTGTGTATTAGTTCTTTGGTTGATCTCTTTCCACTCACACACTTTCCCCCTCCTTCACTCTAGGATTCCACAGTCTGTCCCATGCTAGTCTCTGGATCTAGCTTGCTCCTCAGTTTATTTTGTTCCTTATATTCCACATATGAGTGAGATCATGTGATACTTATCTTTCTTTGACTTATTTGTTTTGCTTAGCACAATACTCTCCAGGTCCCTCTATGCTGTCTCAAAGGGTAAGAGACCCTTCTTTTTGTCTTTTCTTTTTTTCTGCTGCATAGTATTTAATGGTGTATATGTGCCACAGCTTTTTTATCCACACTAACCCACACACAGTTGAAAGTCTACATAACTTAAGTTGACCCTCTGTATATGTAGATTCCCAACTTGCAATTAAAGTTACTGTTTTCCATCCTTGGTTGAGAATCATCAGAGGTGAAACCCAAGGACACAGAAGGCTGACTATATGTTTATTGAAAAAAATATACAGTCAGTGGTCCCACACATTCAAACACATGTTATTCAATATCTGGATCGTATTGAATAGACCTGTGGGTCTATTCTATCATCTGTTTTGTCTCATAGATTTTTACCATGTCCTTGGCCTGCCTGGGAATTTTTTAATGCAAATCTTTGCCAAAGATAATTTATAGCTCTATATATTATCTTTTGTGCAGAGCACTGGATGTCTCGTTATGCTGCTAGGTAGAATTCTTGTTGATCACATCACTCTAAAAGAGAACAAATTAATTCCTGGCTAGGCTATAGTACTTTAGAAAGGCCCTCATTCATTGGTCTTAGCCTTTCATTGAGAACACGTGTTCACCAGAGTTCCTCCCCCTAACACATTCTAATCTCCCTAACACATTAATCTCTTATGTAAAGAGAATCTCAATACTGAGAAAATCTTTCTCTGCTTTTTACAAGATTCTGCTCAATTTCAGCATCTTACCTTCCTAATTGAATGAAAACACAACAGAGTGTTATCTCATTTGTCCACCTCTCTCTTATCTCTGATATTCTGCCCTGTCCCATGCTCTATTTTTATCTCTTTAGAATCATAGGTCAAAATTTGTTCTGATTTCTTGTCATATTACTAGATGCTTCTTGCCTGGATCCTGTGTCCAAACTCTCAGTTTCTCATCAATATACAAAGTTAGCAAATATCCTTGGAGAGGGGTGGGGTGGGAAGGAGAATTACAGAAGGTTGTTCCTCCTCTCAAAGGTTTGCCTTTTTCAGGATTTTGGCTTTTAAATTCCTAGCTGCCAAGCAGCTTTAAACAAGATTTTAAAAAATTTATATAGCCTTTCTAGTCACTAGTATTCTCAGTGAGAGCACTGGTCTGCCTTAAGCTAGTCCATTGTAGCTGGAAGTGGAACTTTATTTTCATGTTTTACTTGCTCAGTTCTTTGGTTTCCAATTCCAGTTTTGTTCCCCTGTATTTAATATCAATCTCTGCCAAGTTTTTAAAATTTTTGTATGTTTAGCTTAAAGGAGACATTACTCATGCATAATTTCAGATATACTTCAATTATATTCTTTGATGTCTTTAAGAAGGCAGACATACCATTTCAGAACATTTCAAGGTAAGTCTAGCTTTGTACAGACAGTACTATCCTGCATTGCTAGCCACTTTAGTACAAAATTCTACTTCTAGGTTCTGAATCATTTCAATGCATTTTTTCTTTAGTATTTTATGAATTCATAAGCAACCATGTAATAAGTTATCATTGTTGTTTCTGCCTTTAATATGAAAGGTAAAACTATGCTTTACAGTTTTATATGTTCAATAATTCTAAGAATGATAAAGTTATAAAAGTCACTGGATAAATAATAGTTAATTGACTAAAAAATACACTGTTGGATTTGTAGGTAAATATCTAATATACAAAATTACATTTACCCGTTATAATCTTCACTGATCCCAGCAAATGGTATTGGATCACAGTGTACAAAAATTGCAAGCATAACCAGTACAAGTGACATAGCAGATGTAATCATTGTAAACCTCATAAGGCCTTTGCAGTACATATGTAACTTGGAAGCAATGACACCTCCCAGAACCTGGCCAAAAGCACCTCCTGGAAGTAAAACAAGTCCTAAAGGAAAAGAGGAGAAAGAGGAAACACAATTAAAAACAATCAACTAAAGAGAGTACAGAAAATTCATACATGGATGCACTCCTCTCTGCTCTAAATATATAGCAAACATAGATTTAAATAAAAAGACAGAAAATTTGATACAGAAGGCATGATATACATTTCAATAAACCTGAACCTTAAAATTAATAAAATTTTGTGAATGGGGTGAAGCTATAGGCCTAATGGAATCAAGGACAGAACTGGTCAATTTTGTTCCTATGGTAGTAATGATATCTAAGATAAACCCAAAACTTAATCCATGCAAACAGAATATGACAACTGTCTTATTGAGAGCTATTAGTATATAGCTGCCTGGATTTATGGTTTGTAGCAAGAGGCATGCCCATAAGGACAAGGGTTCACAAACAGAGATTTGTTACCAAGTACCCTGTTTCCCCGAAAATAAGACAGTGTCTTATATTAATTTTTTTTCTCCCAAAATTGCGCTAGGTCTTATTTTCAGAGGATGTCTTATTTTGGGGGAAACATGGTAGTAAACCAAGCCTCCCATTGCTTCTGTGTAATATCAACAATCTCACAACAAAGTGGGACTCAAGAATAACCATTCAGAGATATAATTTTCTTTTCCATGAAGCCTAATGGATTAGAAAGAGATAAAGCACAAGAAGGAGAGAAAAGGAGTAGGAGGAAGAGAAGAAATATAGTTAGAAAAAAACTCAGATAAAGATAACACAGTAATTTCATACATTGATATAATATCTGCACCAAACATATAGAAATGGTAGATTTAAATAGGAAAATTGGAAGATAAATATAAGTAAAAAACAAACAAAAATCTCATTAACATCAGATTAAATTTATAGCATAGAATTGTCTGACAGTCTTGTAAATAACTTTTAAATGCCTGAAAAGATTGACAGTGTAATTTCAATAAAAATGAAGAAGTACAATCGTAAGAGAATGTAATAAAAAAATAAGAATAGGTGGATAAAAAAAAGAACAAATGAGAAGCCTGGATATTTTTAAATTCAATTGTTAAAATAAAAACTCTCCGAAACCGGTTTGGCTCAGTGGTAGAGCGTCGGTCTGCGGACTGAAAAGTCCCAGGTTTGATTCTGGTCAAGGGCATGTACCTGGGTTGCGGGCACATCCCCAGTAGGGGGTGTGCAAGAGGCAGCTGGTCGATGTTTCTCTCTCATCAAAGTTTCTAGCTCTCTATCTCTCTCCCTTCCTCTCTGTAAAAAATCAATAAAATATATATTTAAAAAAAACACTCAAATCCCAGACTAGAGACATTTGAAACTGAATTAATAAATTGGAATAAAGCATTATGTTATTCATCCAGCATTCAACTTTTTAAAAAAAGAGACTGAGCCCAGCTGGTATGGCCAGGTGGTTGAGCATCAACCTATGAACCAGAGGTCACCATTTGATTCCAGGTCAACGCACATGCCAGGGGTTGCAGACTTGGTCCCCAGGAGGGGGTATGTAGGAGGCAGTCGATCAATCATTCTCTCTCATCATTAAAGTTTTTTTTAATTCTTTTCCTCTCTAAAATCAATTTAAAATTTTAAAAAAAGAATAACTAAAATAAGCTTTTAAAAGACAATGAGTACAGTGGAGAAATTTGATACACATAACCTCAGCAAGATGATGGTCAAATTCAAAAGTAGTATGTCTGTGGTTTTCCTTCCAAAACCCATAACTCCTGTCTAATCATGAGAAAAACATTAGATAATTTCCAATTGAGGAACATTCTAAAAAATACTTGACAAGCACTCCTAAAACTGTCAAGGTCATCAAAAACCAGAGAAGTCTGAGAAGCTGTCATAACCAAGAGTAACTAAGGAAGCATGAGAACTAAATCTAATATGGTATTCTGAGTGAGATTCTGGAACAGAAAAAGGATATTATGTGAAAGCATAAGGAAATATAGATAAATGTTGACTTTAGTTAGTAATATTAATATTGATTTACTAATTCTAAGCAATATACCATGCTAACATAAGATACTAACAAAAAGGAACCTACGAGTATATATATAGAAACTCTACTATCTTCAATTTTTTTCTATGAATATAAAACAATTCAAAAAATAAAGTTTGTTTTAAAAGACCTTGACAATTGTATAAGAAGTTCCACAAAATGTTTTACAGTAGTCATGAGAAATATAATGAAAGATATACCAGAAAAACAATATTTGCAAAATTGTTACTGAGAATGATAATTTTCCATAATTAAATAAACATTAGTCTTGAGAATAAAGGTACATTTCAACTGCTGAGAAGTAAAAAGTGAATAATTAATTACATCTTGCATATAAAGAAGCAAGCTAAAGAAACAACATCAATACTAAAGCGAAAATTATAAAAAGTTGTCAGAGAGCATGTTATTTGCAAAATAATTACAATTATGGCTAGTTTTAAAAAAGGTAATATTAATAACCTAGACCAAACACATATGAATGTACCCACACATGCTCCTGAAAAGTAGGGGTAGTGAACTGTCAGTGGTTAGTTAAAATCTCCTAACCCAAATGAAGGAGGTAAAATGAAGAAAAAGAGATGATTAATAAACAAAATTACAAATAAGTTAAAAATTACTTAAATAAGCTAGAATTTACAATAATACTAAATAAGTAAAATTAAACTAGACATTATTTATTAAATTAGATATTTAAATATCTAATTTAATAAAAAGACATTATTAAATTAGATATTTAAAAAAGCAAACTTTGAAAATAAAGTTAAAAATACATAAAATATATTATGTAAAAACTGCCCAGATTTCAAGAAATTTAAACATCCAAAATCAAAGTAGTATTTTAATTCAATGTTTTCAAAATAGACTTAGCTTGTAACACTATTAAAAATGTTAAAAATTAACTTCTTTGAACAATCAGTTATTTTAAAAGAGAAAGAAACACATATATTTAGCAACTGAAAATCTCAGTAATTCATGGATTAAATAAAAATGTGATAATAAAAATTAAAAATGATTTAAAATAAACAATAATAAAATTATATTTGAATGTATGAGAGGCTACTAAAGAAAATATATAAATAATGACACCTCCATCATAAGGTTGTTAGGACAACTAAATAAGTTAACATTTAAGTTAACAATAAGCCTAAAGACAAGAAAGTCAAGAAGAAACAAAACACATTTTACCCCAGAATCACAGAAGTCAAGGGCAGTAGGTACCAACAAAAACAAGAGTAAGTTATAAACAAGAGGAAGAATGGAAGTTTATATAAAATGTTTGATCCTCAAAATTTCTCTTCCCAACTGCATGGCCTGTGCTTGAACAAGGAGAAGAACTTAGACTTGCTCAGTTTGAGCTTGACAATTATACAGTTTGGAAAACAAAATACACCTATAATCGGAAAACTGAGAATCCAACTCAGGTAAGAAAATATTGGCTGTCAGTCTTATTGGCCTAAGCCAGTGATTTTCAACCAGTATGCAGTGGCACACAGGTGTGCTGCAAGAGTTTCTAAAACATAAAATACTTGACTATTTAGTCAGGAGCACTGACCTCTTTTCCCTTACATTGTCAAATTTAAAAAAATGACAACAACCAACACAACAATAGCTATCCAGTGTGAGTGAATCAAAATTATATCTAAGGCCATGAAGACCTTTTTCTATGCCTTATTCTAAAAAGCTTTATTATTCAACTAGAGGTCCAATGCATGAAATTTGTGCAAGAATAGACCTTCACAGGCCCAGTTGTCTCGGTTGCCCTCGCAACCCCGCTGACTTTGTATGGAAGATCATCCGGAAAGTTGTCCAGATGATCTTTCTGCCATTCAGCAGTTCTGTAGATTTACATATTATGCTTTTATTATTATCTAGAATTTGTGTTTGTGTATGTAGTGAGGTAGAGGTCAAGATTTATCTTCTTTTCATAAGAATATCTAATTGACTTAAAATCACTAATATCTAATTAACTCAATTTTAAATATATTTTAAATTTATATTGTTGAGGGCATAAACATGTATAATTATATTACTCATCTCACTGGTTGACTCTTCTGACATTATATATGATCTCTCTGTATACTAAGTAATGCCTCTTGCTTTGAAGAATCCTATATTTAAAATTATTATAGTTACACCACCTTTTGTTTTGGTTAGTATTAATATAGTACAACTTTTTAGATTCTTTGACTTTCAACCTTGTCATGTCCTCATATTTTAGCAGTGACTCTTTTAAGTAACATAGTGGATTTTCCCCCTCAATCTGGCAATCCTTATTTATATACACACTAGAGGCCTGGTGCACAAATTCATGCATGGGTGGGGTCTCTCAGCCTAGCTGGCTGGTGGGGAGAGACCATGCAAGGTTGGCTGGCTACAGGAGGTTTTCTGTGGGAGAGCACTGACCACAAAGGGGAAGCTCCTGCATTCAGCATCATCACAGTGACCAGTGGAAGTCAAACTATTTGACAAGCCTTATTTGTCAACATTCGAATTGTTGGGTCATAAAGGTTGCTTAGGCTTTTATATATAGAGAAAATTGCCATTCTATTTATTGGGCAAAAATTCTCCATTACCCTCTGATGCTGTATACCCTGCAAACAGAAGCACTGACTACTGTTTGTTCTATCATTTCAATGATCTTTGTATAGCAAACAGCCTTGGATAATAGAGGTAATGTCCTCCTCCAGAGTGAAGGCAAGTTTGCTTCCAGTTTTGGAAGACAGAGATAGCGTCCCCTCTGGAACTAAGAAAAGACAAGTGTGCTATTGGATATAATAAAAGTTAACATTTCCCTCTGGATCAAAAGGCATGCATGATTACTATCCATTATAAAGTATTTGGGTTCCCTAAGCTCAGGGAATGTAGTGCAATCCACTCCTGTAATGCAACCCATGTGCGTGCAGGTATCACTGGCTCTCCTTCACATCATCGTGTGGGGTTGGGGCTCAGAAAACTCATACACACACACAAAGAGACAAAGGGGGAGAGAGAGAGAGAGAGAGGAGAGAGAG